TGCCTGTTTTCAATTTTTACCGGGGAAAAACACCTTCAAATTTCTCAAACGGTAGTTTTAACCATTAACGTAGAATTACGGAGTATTTCAAAGACTGTGTAAAAATTGGTAGGAGATTTTTGTAGACAACTGACAGAGCATGCGAGCGGGTTTGCTTTACTTAAATATAGCGATTTAAAACTAATGGTTTGCCGAGTTTGCCCAAAACTAATTCAATTTGAAGTGAAGGCGTTCTGTGCGTGTGTGTGTGTGTGTGCTTCTTTTCTGTGACAGATTTCGAAACTTCAGGCGAATAATCATATTGTCCCAGTGATCGATTTGTCTTCTACTTCTCAGTTACTTTCCTGGGACTCGCATGTTTGCTTGTATTAGAAGTAATGTTACTGACGATGCTTCACTTTCTTTTAATTACCCAGTTCTTCAAGTCCTATGACTGGAGAAGGCGAACGTAAGTACGCTACTGTACTATTATTAGCCCCCCCCCTTTGTAGCTTTTTCTTACCTCTGACGATGGATTTCAGCTGTAAGAATTGGAAAGCTCAGGATATTAAAAAAAATTGATCCGGTTCTCGAAAATTCTTCTTCTTCAGCCATGCAAATACCCGGAATGCGCACTTTCTCATTCCTTCGGGAGATTTTTTCGCCTGAACTTTTCAATTCACACTACTAATCCACTAATCTGACTTGGTTATCGGTGGTGTGAATGAGAAAGTGCTAACCGGTTGACCTGTTCGAAAGAACTAATGCGCGTCGTGCTTATGGTGAAGGCAAGGGAATTATAAAGTGCACAAGGTCCGGGGTTTTATTTAGGTCGTAAACGCCACAGTTCGGTCAAAAAGGTCAGTATAATCAGGCCTATAGATAAAAAAAAACCCACCTGAAAATGCATTATTGACTTTTCTCGATAAGTACATTGAAATGGCGTTAAGGCCAAAGTTCGAAAAGCCCGTTCGGGCTGCCGGCTGCCAACCTCACCACATTGGTCAGTTGAATCACATACCGGTGCCTTACGACTGCCTGTATCAGTTAGCTGCCACTAATCCGCTGGAGTCTTCAGTACAAAATAACCCGCCTGCGACACTCGACAGGATTTGTCCTAAAAGCTGTGAGTGCTGTGGTGTGCATTATTTGAGGAACCTGGCTTTTTTTAAATATATACATATTTCATTACGATCTGGATATTGCACGGAAAATGACATATCAAGCGTTTTGCTAATATTTTCCCCCAGTGCTAATAAGGTCCGCCAATTAGAAGCCGCCTCCTTTTGTTTGGCCAAGACTTTGTTTTATAAATTGCTTGGCTTTTGCAAACTCTTGTGCAAATCCCCGTCTGAGCTGTGTTTTCTTGTCTGTTCCCTATATCAACCAACATTTGTCTCTTCTACAGATTCCCTGTCCTGGCCGGAGGCATGAAGAAGGGCAAAATTGTGGCGCTGATTACTGTTGTGGCAATCTCCTGCACCCTACTGCGTACGTACCTGAGGTAAGCTGAGCAAACATCAGTATAACAAGTTTGGTCAAACAATTAGCAGTGCTTGCTTAATAAAAAATAATCTATATAATGCGGTTTTTAGCGTAAAGCACAACCTATTAACATTGGTGGTTTTTTGTCGATGTGTTGAGTTCCGGGCGCTCGATCCAAAAAGACTGATGATGACTGGTCACTTTTAAAACGCCCTAGGAACTGTCCAAAATGATTTTTTTCAGAGTGATGGAGGTACCAATGTTGACTATGGTGCGCAAGATTGAATCTGAGTTTGCAACTATCCGCGACAATTTTGGTCTCCACAAAAAACGAAAATGGCGTGCTTTTTGTTTACTTTCCCTTCATTAATCCGTACTCGGTTGTAGGCTACCGCATCTAGTTCGCTGCATGATGACAGAAACATCCTCTTTTTTTAGTTGGCATTATGTTTCACGTAGCTTTGCCTCTGGTAAATATGCTTGTGTATCGGAAATCATTGCTTCCACGCTTACCTTCTTAGTGTTTCTTTGGTGTCTAATAGATCTTCCAAAAAAGTATTCAGCTGAAGACTCAATAAGAAACTGAGTCGATATAGGTATTTTGTATTGGACTGGATAACTTTTAAGGGACGGATGAATTATGATGATGGGATGCTTGCTCTTCTAATCATATAGCCGATTAAATAATGATGAGTAAATCAATTATTCATTATTCACTGGACAGGTCATCCCTTCTTAGGGCTCGCTGCTGACTAATTACGACGCCCCAGCCCAGAACGCTGTTAGAATTAGATGAAAAAGTTTAGTCAGCCTAGCGCTGGACCTTGCGATCTTTGCACACAGAGGACAAATCGAATGTTTGCAGTTTACAAATAAGATGCCTCTGATTATATTAATGTATTTTACAGCGGTACAGAAAGTGTGCAAATCACGTTCTCCCCATTTACGGAAGAAACCAGCGACCCTTCTCAACTGTCGGTCAGTTACACACCTTTTTTATTAATACTTCTAACTTTGATCTCTTTTTTGCTAACGACAAATTATTGCATGTCTGCAAGTTTAACAACCGCTTTCTGAAAATCATTAAATCTTGAAGAAGCAACAGATTAAAGTTAATAAATAATCTGTCCTTAGATGTTTGAATTTACCCGAAATGTATCGGAAAATGATCCAGGGCAAATAATCAAAAGTCTCACTTCTGATATTTAAAATATATATATACAGGGTGTCCCAAAAAATGTATACACAGTTTACCTTATTGTAAAATTGGTGTTTATCATAATTTTATTATTAAATAAATGTAAAAATATTTACAAGTATCATTTTATTGTTATTTTTTTCACTGAACGTTCTAAAACTGACGTCCATTGTGATCATGACACCGCTGACAACGCGAAGCAATGGAATCGCACATACCATGAAACAACTACCTTGGTATTCGGGTGCATTTGTGTTCAGTGGCTTCTCTCAATTCAGTCACTGTTAAAATAGGCAAATGCAGTGAAAAAGCAATATAATGATACTTGTAAATATTTTTACTTTTTTTGAAATATTGAAATTATAATAAGCACCAAGCTCACAATTATTTAAAATGTGCATACATTTTTGGGACAACCTGTATATATAGAATATTATGCAAAGTTGGCGAGGGCAAAAGTTGCAAGGTAGTAATAATCTAACCAGGTGAACTTACATCCTCATGTACTTTAGAAGATTAAACCAGGCTGCATTTTCAAACAAGAATCAAAGCAAAATGATCCTGTCGACTTGTGCGCAAGTATCAGTATCAGATTTCCTGCAGTACTGATGAGCAACCGACAGGGAAGACGACATACAGCTTGCGATCTACGAATGAATGGAAACGTTAGCGTTCCATGTATTTGCATGGGTAAGAAAGAAGGATTTTCAAGCACCGGGGCAACTTGTTTATTATCTTGAGCTTTCGAACGCTTCGAGGAGCCCATCCGCAGAGATAAGAAACGGCAACAAGCAGGGGCTTATCATAATGTATGTACACCAATAAACTGTCAAGGTTCGTCAGGTCCGAAATGGTAGGAAACAGCAATTGAAAGAGGAGAGAAGGGGGAGGCAATTGTACGGGTATACGTTAATTAACTGTCAGCGTTGAAAAGGTTCGTCAAGGCATCAGCAACGCAATTGCGGGCAATTATAGAGGTGGTGGGCCAATTAACTATGACAAACGTCGTGGTGTGCCTGCACATGACTGCGCAAGGTTCTGAATGCCGGCGAAAAGTTGGTACATCCGTTGATTGAATTCTCGTCCGTGGACCAGGCTTCAAAAAATTATCGACCCATCTTGTTTCCGGCGTGAACAAGTACACTGACAGCCGCGAAATTGAACTCATGGCCTAGTTAATAGATATGAGCTGCAACTTGCGATCATTTGTCGTCTTGTCATACAACCAGCTCATGTTCATTTATTCGCGATCCGAGCGTGCGTTCAGTTTGACCTGTGTATTAACAGGGACAGCAGAGGCATGGAATGCGATACATTACTCCCAGATAGTTCACTGGGATTAAGCCAGCCATTATCATCCAGCCAAATGCTTGAGCAACACCCGGGACATGAGCAGAACCGCCAGTGGCCACCGTAGTTTTATGGAGACATTCAAGGAGAAACATAGACGAACCTTTTCCCTAAAATATCATGACTCCATCCGTTAGAAATCAGCTACGCATCGTTGGATCGGTGTTTGTACGCCATTTTACCTGTAAGCACCTACCCCGAATCGGTAAAATGACGCCTCGGACGGTGACCTGACACCGGAGGTGGGGGAGAAAGTGACGTCGGCGGTTCAGCGCACTTTTCTTTCTGCAGTAAATCTGACGGGTTTGAAGCTATCACGGTGCGCTAAAAGCATTGGCCTGGAGGAGTGCCAACTGAAAATATTACTCGGACCGCGTCGTTAGCCCAGTATTTGCTTGTGTGAAGGGGCGGACTGAGAGTCAGGCTGCGATGACTCAATTTTCCTGTGGTCTGGCCAGGTGTAGCGGCACACTTAGGGGCGGCTCCGGCCGCGCCGGTCATCTGCGCCATCTCCCGTTTCCATTCTTCTTGACTCTGTCTCGAAACCAGACCCAAACAGGGGCAGATCAAATATTGAGGAAGATGCATCGGAAGTCATCATTCCTGCACCGCCATTCTGTGGAGCACACGCTGAACGACCTTGTAAACACTGGTAAACAGGCTAGTACGTGTTTGTGTTGCAAAGGCGAGATCGGGTTGTAACTTACTGATGTTACATAGGTAACCCATAAGTTATAAAGGCTCTTCATGTCATTTCGACCTTCCAGTGGTTAAAATTCCGTTTACTGGCTAATCAAATCCTTTCTTAGGAGCATGGGTCACACCTTTTTATTTACAACTGCCTGTAACCATTGCATATGCTTAAAATGTATTCTCGGAGGCAAGCAAAGCTACATCTGATACTGCCGCATATGTTTCCTACTTGTAAAATTATTGGTTCTAAGATCTCAATGTGGACTGACTGTATCCTGTCACTAATACATTTCTTTTTGCAGACAACCTGCGGACAACCAACTTACGGTGAGTCTGTTGCTTTAGTTGTCTGTGTCGATGTAGCACTTTGCGGTCAGATGATGGTTTGGTACAAAATTTAGACGAAAATAAGCAAAAACTGTGGGCCATTCATAATAAAACTCCGGCGTAGTATGACAGTTGAAGCCTCTTCCACGGTACGAATTTAAGGCAAGCAAATGATGCAGATTTTCTTGAATCCAAATATTACCCGACCACTCATCAGTTGTAAGTTGTCGCAGCTTAACATTAATTACGGATGAGGTAGTAAAGAAAATTTGAATTCGTGCAGAAAAAATATCAGTGCAAAACAGCAAGGTCATAGTTTACTGCCGTACAGACTGACCAATGAAATTGATAACTTCGAATACCATATGGGAAACAAAAACGGAGGAAAAAAAATTTAAAACATAAAAAGAAAGAGAGGAAATGTCTAAATCTAGGAGCTGTAGCTTACTAACGTAAATTTAAGCCAACCATATTTTCCAAATATTTACATAGGTCGGTTTTCACCCGCCTCCAAGTAGTATAATGTACGAATTTTTCGTGTCTGAATAAGTACGCGGAATGATGTTTTGGTGTCCACAGCGTGACCATTATCTGTCAGCTGTTTCGAACCGGAAGAATGCAGGTTTCTATTGAGAAAAAGACGATCCGATCGCTGGGACAATATGTCAATTTGCCTGAATTTTCGAGATCCGTCGCGGATTCGTCATTAGAAACATAATCAGAGAGCCGTAGCAGATACAGGTAGCGTATGCACAGGAGTTTGCAGTGTAAAACAGTTAAAATTTAAACCTGTAGAAAAATTGATAACTCAGTCAGTATATTTGGAGTAAATGACCGAAGCCCTTCAAAAATCCATTGAAACAGTACATTTTAGTGAAGAATGCAAAAATTGTTACAGATCGCTTTTGTTGTGCAAAAGTGCATATGGCGTGAGTGCCGATTGGCCACGTCATTCGAAGAGACCCGGCCACAGATTCAAATTTGATGAGGCCGAAATTCTCGCAAGAGGTAACAATCGGGTGAGTCGAGAATTTTTTGAATCATAGTTCACGGCCCCCCAATCCTTTAACAAGTGCAGTGATTTGCCCATTCCATATTCGGTGCTGAGACTCAATTTGGCCAAAGCAAATCGCCGCTCGGGGAACAGACAGGCCACCGCGCCATCCTACGCCAACACTGTTTCTCGTTTCTCGTTGCTGACGTGGCCAATCGGCACTCACGTCATAAAGTTATCGATTTTTTCTAATCGATTTTTTCTACACGTTTAATTTTTACATGTTTTATACTGAAAACGCCTGTGCATACGCTACTTGTATCTGCCACGGCTCTCTGATTATGTCTCTGATGAAAAATTCGCGACGGATCTCGAAACTTCAGGCGAATTAAAATATTGTCCCAGTGATGGACTCGTCTTCTTCTCCTGGGATTCGCACGTTCGCTGTTATTGGCAGGGTTCTATACTTTTAAAGACAACTAGACAGGTGTTCTATGGACCTGGCTGCTAATTGCTTTTGCCTTTGTCCAGTTTGCTTGCTTCCGCAAGTGCATTCATACTCATGGATACAATTTGAAAGTGCGGTCACTGTCAAGACATCCTTTGTTCTTGAAATTGAAGGAGCCTTTCTAGGACTGCCTTTAAGGGATGGCAGCATTTAAAATACTATCAAACGACGCCCGTGAGATACCCATATTGCCGGCTTCATTTGCTATTGAAGTTATTAAGCGACAGGTTGTAGCTGATGAACAGTCATGAATTTTTTTGAATCCAATAAATTCAGCATTCATTGCTTGCTTTATATTTGATAGGAGTATATTTGCTTTCCAAGCATCAAATATATTTAAGGAAGAAGATGGGAAGGCGTTTTCTGTGAGTTGTTTATTTGCCCGACATTTCAAACTGTCACGCTTGCTCATGGTCAAGAAATAAAACAGATTGTATAACTCATTCATATTTAGCCCAGCTCTGTCAGAAACGACCTTCAGCTCTGCGATTGGGTTTTTCACGCAACTCTAGATTAGCATCTGGGAGATCGATATGCCTTTTAATGGAACCCGCACGTAAGTGCCATAATTCTTGCAGTAGGCGTGAATTTCGGCCGTCTGACTGGCCCATGATTTTGAAGTTGATGCTGTGCTCTGGCGAGGATGCGTGAGCGACTACAGAGGGAAGCTCGCCCTTCCTTCGCACGGCGAATTAGTGCTTGTGGAGTCTCGTAAGAACTCGTTTGTCGGTTTCACCATCCTAACTAGCTTGACCACAAAGAAAGTCGATCCAGTAAATAACACCAGATTTTTGCTTAACGGCTATTGGGTCTTTAGGTTGTATAAGTTGCCTGCGGATTGTTGCTTCCGTTCTGTAGTATATGGTCAGGTTTGTAGGAGGCTTTCTGAAAATACGAAACCGCCCGACAGTAGGAAGTACTCTTGCTGGGATATAACAATTTCTCTTTTAAGACTTGTACTTATGATATTTTTCTAATCATAGAATCCGAGTATTATAATTTAACAGTACCCTTTGACCTTTGAGGAAGTTGGTAGACTGAACATTAGCTTGGAGAATCTGGACTATGGGCAGTTAGCCGCAAATTGGGGACTTCCTGAAGACCAAGCTACCTGGCACAATGACTCAAATTTCACCGATGTCTCATACACTTTGGAACGTTCGCGGCATGATAATAACAGCTCGAATGCAGTGGCTGTGTGGAACCCGATCAACTGCGAACAGCCGGAAACCCTAGCGATTGTTATTCCCTTTCGCGACCGTTATCAAAACCTATCTGTCTTTCTCAACCACATGCATCCCCTTTTACGACATCAACGTCGACGTTACTCCATCTTCGTCATTGATCAGGTAAGCGAAACCGAAAAGCAGCCTAGTTCTTCTCCCCGAAGTAAGACTGTATTTCGATCTGTTAAGCGAATTCTAGGTTCCATTACTATCAGACCCAGGAGCCCTTAGTGTTCTCCGAGGAAGGTCTGATGTTACTGTGTACTTAAAGACACCGAGGTAGTACAGCGCTCTAAGCAGGAATTTGTGGCAGTCTGAATCCGGTAGTGCTGCGTGGATTCATCTCGTTCTCATCCTCAAAAGCCTTGTCTCTCCGCACGCCCGGTGCTGACTCATCCTCTAATCGATTCCTCGTGAGCTTTAATGTCAACAACCGCACCCTTTCCTGATTGGCTAAGGCTACAGCTCGCTCTCAGGGCGTCGCAGCAGCGGACCCTTGTTGACTGACTCGGCTGACTTCTACGCGCGGCGCTGGCAGCAACTACTGCAAAGCTACGCCAGCCTAGCCAAGTTGTTCCCCTTCATTTCGTCTTACGTGATTTGTGATTTGGGGATCCAGCAAAAGTATCTCACGTAGTCCCCTCATATACCCCTAGTCTAGCATTTTGTCCTATGAAAACGGTCGTTATAGGGTTTTTTGGGGGGAGGGGCCGCGGAAATAGGATAGTCAGAGAAGGGATTTTTTAGAAGTAAATGTAAAATGAAAAAATGTAGTCAAATTGTTTGCCGCGGTCGCTGGGAGTGAGTTGTTCCGCATGTACATTGAAGGTGTGTGCGGCGCCTTGCGCCGCGAACTATGCTAATTTACCTCCACAACGGTAAGTTGGATCTCAGGTAAGTTGAAGTAGACAACCTCCTAACCACCATTTCTATTTTTCGGGAGTTTCAAGAAACCTGCAATTTGATAATCGTGTTTTTCCGCAATTAGTTAAACGATACTACAGATTAGGAAAATCTACAGATATGAACCAACAACACTTCTAAATACAGT